ACGGACGAAAAGGGAAACAAAGTTCATTTGACCTTTGTCCAGCGACCTGCCCTTCGCGACACGTCGCCTCTGACTGGGGCAGCGGGGGTTCCTGCATCCCCTCGCCGCTCGGGCGGCTCGCGGGGGGTCAGGCGGCGGGCTTGCCGCTTGGGAGGCAGGGGCGGGCTTGCCGCTTGGGAGGCAGGGGCGACGTTCGGTCGCGATCGGCCGTTTTGAGATTTCCTGTGGTCGCTGTTGGCACCTGACGGCCCACGCGACATTTCCACCGGTACGTTTTTACGTAAATTCCGTCTGCATGAATGTCGTGCTTTTCCAACAGAATGCAGGGTCGTGCAACAATCTGCCAACTGCTGCGTGCTTCGTTGCAGATGGCAATTCACCAGTTTTTCTTCTTTAGTGAAGGTGCAGTTCGCACGTTTAGTAAAAACGTTTCCTAAAACGTACTTTGGTTCGACTTGCCTTGACGGTTTTTTTTACACGTCCCTAGGGGTTCTGACTCCGCAGCGTGGGAAGCAAAGATGCAGGGCTTGGGGGATGAATCGCGCGTCGGTTTCTCGACAAATTCCATTTCTTAAAAAGAGCCACCACAGAAAATTGATCAACCATGGACAATGCCCTCTCATCACTGCCACAGACAAACCTGAGGACAATTAGCAAGAAAAGTTGGGATAAAAAATGAACAAACTTTGCGACGAGGGCACTGGCAACATTCGCACGAGTAAAAACTAGACTAGTGCATTTGCTAGAATTGTGCAAAATCTCAAATTGAAACCTCTTTTATTGTCGAAGTCGGCCCCAACCGTACGGCCAGGGCCCACATCTCCCCATCACACAACTACGTCGGCAAGGTGCAACATCACGAGAACCTCTGACGCACGGCGTGCCAGGCGTCCATGATGCCCTCCCGCTTCCGCCACGCCCGATCCCCGTAGGCGGCATACCCGCTGAAAGGAACAGACAGATCGAGTTCCAAGAGGCAATTTTGAGTCTTTCAAATTCGTTGGGTCGCGGCTCATTCCCGAATCGTCGCTGGTCGGCAGCGAGCAGACGTAGGAAGCGTGCGTGGTTTTTCTTGATTCTTGTGAACAAGCTCCCGTTGGAGCTCCCGTTGGAGCTCCCTACAGGCTAGTGAGCGGAGAGCCGGTGTGCTCGGCGATTTAAGCAGCAGGGGAAACTTCCATTGCGACAAGGTGTAAAAAATTCAGACATAAAATGCCACTGCTTGTAATCTTAATCACAAAACCAACTCCAAGCAACCCTGCGTCACCCAAACTGACCCAATCGCAACAACTCTGGGCTCTTCTTGAAAGGAAACGATCCGTCCCCTGTAATTCCACGATTCCTGACTTTTGCTGCACCCTGTACGGTATGCACAGCTAAAACTTGCAATTGTAATTCTAATTAAAAATTCCACGAATGCTGTCTTACAATTCATCTTCTGCCTTCTGATGAAACAATCCTAAGAGTAGCATGAATGGTGCCAATGACTATGCTAAATTTCATGATAAATCTTCCCAGTGAAAAACATCCCCCTTTTGAAGTTCACATAAAATAACCACAAGAACAAAGAAATGCTTGCTCCCTTGTACATCACCTTTCCAAGGACATACAAACTGATGCAATGCAATCGTGCTATAGTCTGTATCCCGAACCCTTGTGCAGCGGCACAGCCGGCTGGCCAAACCGTCATTTCGTAATGGTTCTCCGGCCAGCCAGTACCTTGTCGACTGAGTCGACAGAGAGACCCCGTATTTATGTCTCCTCAAGGAAGGAAAGGGCAGAAAAGGCGAGAGGGTGGCGAGCGTGCCAACATTACTGCTCTCGTTCGTCACCATCGGCAGTGACACTCGTCTGATGAACCTCATTACCCTTTGACTCTTTGAAAGTCTACTGCGTGCACGCGGATTCAGGATATCGACCGTAACCAAACTCATGCTTAACCGGTCAACTGAGAAACGAAAAATCCCGAAATATCGCGAACATTACAAAAAGACCGGACAGGAGCGGAAGAGAACCCACACGCCGAAGAGCATCCCGCCGAGATGGGCCGCGTGGTCGAAGAACTTCCACCGCATCACCACGCCGCAAGTGTCGAAGGCAAGCATGGCCTTCACTGCCTTCAGAAGGACAAAGGAAACTTTTTTTTAATGTTGGTGATTTAAATCACATTGTCAATAAACAAATACTCCTACTTATTTTTTGAATATAACATTTATGCAGAATTGTATTCGTACCTATTTGGCTATTCACTCCTCATTTTTTGTCGTACTTCTTTAATGACACAGTTACTCTGTTACTGGCCATTCAGATTGGATTTCAGCAAATTTTTTAGCAAAGCCCAGTAAGGACATTTCTCATCTAAAAACTCTTAAAAGATTCAAGATCGAGTTCGAGGATGAACCGACCGATCCGGCAGAGAAGGTGACGTTCGGGACGAACGCGATGCCGAGGAGGATGTCCGGCCTCATGGTGCACACGTAGCCCAGGACACCCAGGATAGCACCTGACTGCACACAAAAACGAACTACTTCACACGGGGAACACGTCCCGAGTTCCACGGACGACTCGCGAGTCCTCACGGCTCCGAGGGAGATTCCGGGGATGCCGAAGGCCGCCTTGTGCAGGTAGGAGACGAAGGAGGACGTCACGCCGGCGCTCACGTAGAACCCGACGAACTGCTCCTTTCCCATGAGATAAACCGCACCTGGGAGGCACCGTGCCGTCGAGGAATATCAACATAAGAGACAAACTTGATGTTTCCAAATCAAACTCACTCGAGGAGAAGCTGTGGAGAACATACATGTTGAGGAACACATGTATAGCAGAATAATGACTGAACGTGGACAACAGCATCGGCCAGCAAACCGACCCTGAGGAATCAAAGCAATATGCCCGTTGGAAACACGTGGGCAAAATATATCATTTGAATGTTGACGTTTTAAATTGAGCTTTTCGTTAACTAGTTTCTCAGCATATGCTGAAATAAATTTTCTTCAAAACTGGAATAGTTTACTCTTTCAGTTCTGTGAAGCTCTTCACTGAAGGTAAGAAGTATGCTAACATTTCTCTACAATTTTCCCTGGAACCTACCAGCTTCAGAATATATTTTTCTGCGGCCTGAAAATACAAATGCCACAAAGCAACATCTTGGAAACTAAGCTGACACTACGTCAGTCGTGGTTTCCCTGCCAACAATATCTTTCTTGAATAATTGCACTACTCAAGATAGCACGTGTTTATGAGCTTCGTAGAAAAAATCAGCCTGACGGTGCTCACGCTTAGATCTGTATGATGAAGGTTATAGAATAATAAAACCAATTTTGAACTTGGTCATAAAAAAAAAAAGGCATAGGGACCTTGGTTTCATTCATTACTTGAGGTCGGGCTGGACGTGAAATATCGGATCATGGCCGGCTGGAGGGACGGGACGCGCCACGCCAAGAAGACCAGGCCGTTCGCGAAGGCGATGGGCCAGAAGACGCGCTGGCCGGGGGTGAGGCCGGACCACCACTCGTTCAGCCCTCGCCTCCACTCTCCCTGGGGGAAGAAATATGCCGGCGATGTAGGCTGCCCTTGGCCGTGCAACCAGAAGTGTTTCGGATGGGGCAATTTCAAGTAGACCGGAAAAGGAAGAGGTGGCAGAAGAGTAGCTGCTTTTCATCATAAAAATAAATCTGTGGTGGAAAAAGAAGCTTGCATTTTTTGAATTTACATCATTTTGGTGGAGCAAAAAAAAAAATAAAACCTCCCTTTGAAACCCTTGATTGAATGGAACATTCAAGTCATCTCCATCGACCGTTTGAGTCGAAACGGCGAACGAAGCCATTCGTAGCCGCATCTTACGTGTTTGGGCCGCGGTGCAGGCCGCCAGGCGCTCCGGACGGCCTTGTGGGCCTGGTTCCGCATGTTCTCGTACTGCCAGATCGTGGCTCCCACGTATGACACACCGCACGTCTGCAACAGGATTCCAGTCGTTTTGCATCGTGAATCTCACCTCTAGTCTGGTACACGACTTCAACACTATGACAACATATACCACTCACACCTTGGCAAAACAAAAAAAAAGCATGCTATTCTGCAAGGCTCCAAAAAAAAAAAAAAAAAAACATATATGCCAAACAAGTGGTTTTTAGATCATGGAAATGCTGGTTTTAGTGATCTCCCCAACATTGAACCAGAAAGGGACACAGGGAATTAGGACAATGATTGATCTGGAAATTGAAATGAAACAAAAGTGAACAGCATTTTTCTGGAAAATAAAAAAAATTAGCTATCAAAATGTAAATTACATTGAACAGAAATAATGTTAAAGGTTCATATCTGGAGCTATATTGAACTTTAAATCAATTGAATAGAAATGGCATGGAATCCTCATGAACAAAATGATGGCAGGAGGGGAGTGAGGGGCAAAAGCAGGAAATGAGTCATTTTCCCGGATCGTTCTCGTGACTACGCCGACAAGAACTGCTCGCATTAACACCGAGACTTTAACCCCTAAACTGTGTCGTTTTTTTTTCCCTGCAAAGTCCTCTGCTGTATGTCCTTTTAGACGATTCTGGCCAGGAAGGGCGTAATGCTGCATTATACGAATGGGTCGCAAATTAACCGGTGCATCTGGTTGCTCTCACTCCATCAAGTTATATATTTCAAGTTATATATCAGCATTTTTTGTCTATTTATATAATGAATTTTTTATTTACATACATAGAATCACCGTTTTAAAATTAAATACATGTCTATAGCACCACTACATAAAGCAAAACCTAAAAGACGCAAAGGCCGAAAATACCCGAGGCAAACAAACATCCTCGGGACGAGAAAAGGGACCAAACGTACCACGACGGTGAACCCAGCCGGTTTCCAGAGGTCTCGGAGACCGACCCTCCCCCCGTCCTCGGGCGGGGCGAAGGGGGCCAGGCTGCTCCGCTCCTTCGCCGGCTCCACGTCGCGAAACCCCTTCCCTCGAGAGCCTGAATTCCGACCCCCCAAATGTTTAGAAACTGGTAGCTCTCATACATAACAAAATACTACAGGAAACTATGGTACTTTGAGCTTTTTTTCTAAGCAATAAAAGTTGCAGAGAGAATATCAAGCCCTTGCACGATTCCAGGCTAGCCAAACTCAATTCCACCAGCCATTTTTCATAGTGAAATTTTCCATTTCATGGTGACTTCCACATATCGAGTCAAAACTCATCGTGAATAGTATGAAATCAGTCATTGCACATATTTTTCAAGTTTTTTTTTGAAGAAAAAACCAATGGTATGATCAATGCCTTGAGTCCACATTGAATTTCAATGTTTTCTCTCTCTAGCCCCATAGAGCCATTGTCCAATTTTTCATATGCTTTTCAAACGTACATCTGGTAGTTCTAGGACTACAAAAATTGCTAATGAGCAAATAATGCTTCAGTTTTAATTGAGTAAAGGGATATATAAAAATACATATTTATGATACCAACAGTGAATGAAAGAGAACAGCTCAATGGCAAGGCTCTCGAAGAATAGCAACGATTCTCTCTGATCGCTCATAATGAATAATTCCAAGCAGGTTCTTGCGTGAGTAAATGTTTCTTCTCCGTCCTGAGAGATGGGTTTAACATGTTTAACATGTTTAACATGTTCACACATGTTCAAACCTGGGTAATCTCTGGGCCTTTGAGAATGCAAAAAATCCATTGTGTTGCTTTTTTTAGGAGCCGTTGAGTGGACAATGCTGCTAAGCATAGGAGACTTCGCTGTTCAATGATCGAATCACCTTGAAAAGATGGGAAATGAGGTGTCGTTTCAGATGAAATTCAAAATGTTACATTTCCCAGTAGTTTATCCCACGCATGCAACACATGCCGTATGGAAAATAAGTACAAGTTTGTTACCAATTCCTTGGTCTCTGCTGACAGGGACACTAGTGGTAAAGCTTAGAATTTAAGATTTAAAAGAGTCCTGGTACTGATAATCAGCATTCTAAAAGCTGAAAGAATAAGTTTAACAACAAAGAACAGCTGCTAAGATATAAACGCAGATGCCAGTTTGGCCGTGCTAATTTTAACAAATACATTTCAACAAGAAATAAAATATTTGCAAGAAAGATACGTCCTGTGGGTCGTAAACATGGCAAAATTAAATCACAAAAACTCCTATATTATAAATCATTAGAGTTTCAGGAAAATGCTCCAACCTTTGTGCACGGGCTGCCTCCTCTCGAGCCGGAATCTCAGGTGCTGGACTCCCCGGTCCCGCCCGGCCCGGCACAGGGGAGGCAGAGGGCAGATGCGCTGCGGAACGCTCCACATGCTCTCGCCGCCTCGGACGTATCACAGCGTGTGCTCGCGGAAGACTCGGAACACTCCGACTACCTCGAATCCATCACGGCCAGGACTCGCAGGGGATGTTCAACTGGCTCTCACTGCTTTGGGAACATCAACAAGTCACAGCACAATCACTGTTGGGCACTGCGCTTGCCTTCGGTCTTGTATTCCGTCGCTTCAGATATACGAGCACGAATGCGCGAAAACAGAATCTGAGGGAAACACTGATGGCCCGCATCACAAACGGAAAATGTGTCTGGCTCATTCAAGTTTCAGCTTTTTCAGTGCTTACCATGTGACCATGGGATCATCATCATTCCAGGTCATGGATTAGCGTTTGCTTCTTTACGTAAAAATAGTGAGAATACTTAAAGCTTGGACTTTTTTCATTCAATCAACAAGAGACTTAAGATATCCTTTGCCATGATCCAGTGGGAAAGGCAACTCTTCCCAAACCAAATCACTGGAGTCGAAAATGAGAGCTTCATTCAAAAGCGTGAAGGAGTCCATTTTGCAAAAAAAAAAAAAATAAGAAGGAATACAATCTCATGCTGAATCGATCATCAAAGTGGAGTACAAAAAACATGCAGCTGAATGCATCTCTTACACGGGCAGTGAATTCCTGAGAAGAAATCATGCTAAACCCTCTCTGTTCCCAAATCATAATCCAATAAGCATCATATCACATGGACCTGAGATTGCTTGGAAGAAGGAGAAATGGATATACCTAATAAAAGAAAGTAGGGGAAAAGGAGAAGAAAGAAAATCAAACGACAACACAGGATTTCAGTGCTACGCCAAGGCGGTAGGCCGATTCCACTTCCGACTGACCGACAAAAATCACAAGCTATGATGAAGGAAAAAATCAGATCAGCCGGATGCGACTACAACATCCGGTCCACATCCGGGGTCGTCCACTGCCTCCTCCTCTTCAGATGGTCCGGTCAGGCTTGTGAATTCCTCAAATTCATTGGAAGACAGCATTCTGGTAAACTTAAACTTCTGCAGGTAGTCCTTGATTGATACATTCTGTTGCTTTTTATTGGTCAGGGCACCATCAGATTCAAATCTTGGAAGTTTCTTTGGCCGTTCCGGCTGCGAAGAAGAATGGAAGGAGAAGGTGTCTACTAATTTGACTTGACGGGCTTTGGAACACGAAGAAGACTTTGAAAGTCCGGCTCGGATGCGAGTTTTTTGTTGGGAAGACACAGAAATGGAATTTGTTTTCTTGCAGCTGAATCGTTCCCAAGCGACAACAGGCTTTGGGGTAAACATGAAATCACCCGATGTCGTCGGAGTGGGAGGAGACGACTCGGCCGAAGACCGACCGATGTCCCTGCTGTCACATGACATCACAGAGCACTTCAGGGGATCGTCAACATCATAAAATCCAGAGTCCCAGTCTGACACTTTCCTCTTGGGTGTGTTTCCTGAAGTCTCACTCCTTCTCTCAGGAGCAGAACTTGTCACTTCTTCCCTGTCTTCAGAGCTGCTGAAGTATTTGCTTGAATTTAAATCAGAGCTGAAGACATGCTTATGGCTAAATTTACTGAGCGCACCCCACTTCTGCAGAGCCTGTCGATTAGATGAATCAGAGGAGTCGTGCTTTGCACTGCCAGGTGCAAGGGAAACTTGCTTGCAGAATGGATTCCGAGTGAAGGTCGGCGATTGTGCAGAGTCGAGAAGCTGATTGACCTGATTTTCCTTCAAAGGAGATTGAGACTTGCTGAAGGAGGTTTGTAACTGAGTCTGCTCCATAACATTCTCATCCTCCTGAATTTTGTCAAAGTCCAATTCTTCATCTGAATCACCATACATACCCATCACTTGAGAGTCAGCCTTGGTGTCACTAAGCGATGGGGAAGACTTGGTAGACACAAGTTTTGCAGGCGTCTTCACTGTGACAACCTTTCCCAATGTACTCAAGATGGTTGGCTGCACCGATCGAGCAAGGTCCTTGCGCACGATCGCATAATCCTGGGCCCAGATGCTCTTGTGCAGTGCGGCACTTCCGAGGAACCTACGGTCTAACTTCGCCTTCCTTGGGTCATAGTTGTCAACCTTTTGCATCGAATCCAGATCTATGTTTCCCAGTGCTAAGTCCAGCGCAATTTCTTCATCAAGTTCTGGGCCAGCATAGGCCATTGATGAACAGTCAACTTCTTCTTCATATGGTGTCAGAGGAACTAACTTCCTGGTGAGGGGGTCAAACACCAGCTGGTGCTTGAAGGTGTTCAGGGCACGAACAAACTTTTCACAGTATTCTTCGGTGACAGTGAGACTATTCATGTTGAGGTAAAAGGGGAGCTTTGGAAGCACCTGAGAAAAGTTGGGGTTTGAGGTAAGACAAAAGAACTTGCAGGCCTTGGCGAGCCCGATCCCGGGCAGGGACGGGAGGTAGTCGCAGCCGGACAAGACGCACATGGCCTGGAACTTCTCGAATGTGAAGTTCGGGGCCTTCATGCCCAAACACAGGGGGAGCTTGGTCTTCTCGAATAGCACACCCCTGCCCGAGAGGTCGAGCTTGAACAGGATGCGGTCGCAGCCGAAGAGAATGAGATCGGAATCTTCGGTGATGACGACTTGAGCGATGCCTTTCGATGCAAGGTGTGCGAGCTGAGCGTCTGCCTCGTACGGAGCCACGATGCAGTCGACGTTCTGCTTCCGACACGCGGCGATCACCTGCCGTGCCATCTCGGGGGTCACGTCGACGCATCGCTTGAAATATTCCCTGGCTTCGGGCACCCTGTCTTCGCGGAGCAGCTCCCTCGCCTTCCTCCGGTTCTCCTTCCGGGCCTCCCGACGCTTCTTCTCGGTCACCTCCTTGGCCGGCAGGTGCAGCCCGTCGAAGACGAGGACGGGCTTGACGTTGTGGCCGAGGAGCATGTTGACGTACTTGAGGCAGTAGAGGACATAGGCGTCCGTCTTCTCGCCCTTGACGAGCTTCTCCGCGCAGGAGAACGCTCCCTTGTGGAGCCAGCAGTAGGCATCGACGGCCACGGTGCAGCCGGACAGGGATTTCACGTCCGCCTCGTGCGTGGCCTTCCTCACAAACGGCAGCAATCCCTGAATCCCCATCCTCAACTACTGGAAGCACTGAAGGGTAATAGAAAAAATGGATCAGAATCGAAATTGTGTCTTAAACTTACATACGCCTAGTGAAACGCAACCGCCTAGCAACCATCTGCTTCAGCCAAAAACAAGTTTGCTGCTTGAGACTGGCTCCATCTTCCTGGCGGGAAATTGCACACAAACTCCTAGACTCGCAATCCTTCCTCAATTTCGGCGAAGAACTCCGGTCTTTCGGCTCCATTCTATTTTACACCACAGAAAGCCCCCTCCGCCCTCATGCCTATTGCAATAAGCGAATCGCCCGACTACCCTGTCACGCGATGAACATCACTGCACAATGCGGCCGATGCAAATCCTCTCCCGACGACAATAACCTCGGCGAAAAATTTCCATCTCTTATCTCCCTTCATGAAAGCCATTATCCCCCTGGCCTTCGGCCGCCACACCCGCTCGCAGTCGGCCATGCTGTCGGCTGTGGCATGCCAGTCCCCTCGTCGACCCCGTCGACCCCGCCTCCCACATAATTAAAATTTTCCCATTTAATATTTCCCATCGACCGACGAAACTCTTAAAAACGCGCTGAGTCCTCGGAAATTTCGCCTGAGTGCGACGAGAAATCGGGTTCCTACAGCGAAAGAAGAGTTCCCGATCGCGCAACCCTGCTCGCCAGCTGAGTGTTGTCATGGCCGACCGTCGTCGAGCTGTTATTTCTTTTTTTCGCGAACATTTCTCCAAATCCAGGTGACGTGACGGGACTCGACCTTCCCGAGTTGAGCCGAATTTTCGCTGCCTTCGCGTCTCGCATCGGCCGATCACCGGGAATCCGCCTCGGCTTTAAGAGAGAGCCTGGCCCAAGCTTAGGCTAAGCCTAATCTCCGATCTCGACGGGCTTCCGTCGCGAACGAAGGAATTTCGGTCCGCGTGAATGCAAAAAAATTAAGGAACTGGGGAGGCTTCCTCCTCTGGGCGTGGCCGGACCTCCCTTTCCGCCCCATCCCCACCCCAGTGACCTCCATCCGATCCCGCTCGACGCCGACCGCCCAAGCGGGGGAACAAAGCGCGAAGGCCTAGCCGATTTCCGCCTGGCCCCATCGGCCTATCGGCTCAATCGGCCTGCCTCCTACCGAATCCGCCGATTTGGAGCGGCGAAGGCCGATAGAGCCTGTCGCGATCGCCGTGCCTGTCGGGCCTCATCAGGCTGATGACGTCAGGTCTTGCATAAACAGATGTCAATCGGCTGCTTGCTTGATTATGGAAAATGTCTGCTGCTTCGTGTTTTCTTATCCATCTGATGATACTTGGGATTGCAAATTATCGCAGATGAAGTATTTATTGTCTGATCGATGTGAAATTGGCAAAATAAGAAGGTGGTCATCCCCTAGCAACAGCCTTTTTCTTTTTTTTTTTTCCTCCCCAAAATGTTGAGAGCGAGGTTTGAAGTGGAGTAGAGAGACACTATCAGCTAGGTTGATTTGCAATTTTCACGGAATATTTAATGCATTCCTAGTTGCTGAATAAAACGTAACAATTCAAGATAACGAAAAGTTGATGACGAGGTGTTGTGCCATTTGTACTTGCTCTCGGAAAGTTGGCCTCTCGGTCGGCCTGTCGTATTGCAGAACGTGCAGCGTGCGCTTTTCCATTGATCTTTTATTTTAACTCGATATGTGGCTCTGCAATTTGTTTACAGAGAGACTAGGTTGGCATTTGAGCAGAACGGTCAGAACTGCTTTCTGTAACAGGTTGTGCCAAGTTTCTTGTCCTGGTCCCAGGACGCACAGACAGAAAGCCTAAGACTGCTGGATTGAATATCACACTACTCGATTGTGTTAAAATTGCCAAGTAAACACGGATTTCTGGACCTTTACGTTTGGGGAACCTCTCAATATTCCCTTGTGCTTCGCCTGAAAAGTGACTCCCTTAATTATCAGGGGACCTTTTCAGATCAGGGTCCTGGGGACTCCCATGGCAAGAAACCTAGCGCAACCCCTGCATAATAGTGTGCCAGTCTTTCTCGTACTCTGTCGATATTCTGTAGGGCTGAATAACAACTGCAAATTCATGCAATATCTCTGCCATTTCTCTCTCCTCTTTGTACAGGGTTCATGCTAGCTTTTTTAAGTCTTGAGTCCTGGCACCTAGCCTCAGCTTGGGGGGCTCATGTTCAGGTTGTTGTCAATGAAACGAATGTTGTCAACAAATCAACAACAACATGACTTGTCAACAAATGTTGTCAAGCCATGGGCTTAGATGATTTGCAAACATGATATTAACATGGTCTTATCACTCTGTAATTCATGTATTAAACGTAAAAATTGTCCAATTATTTATTTCATATTTAGTTTATTATGCTCTTCCCATATTCTGTGTTGGCATACTCATAATTTCAAATGTTACCTTGTGTGGCATGTTATATCAATTCTCATGCTTCCGTCATTGGTATCCGCCAGCCCCTAGAGTAAGGAGTTTTGAACCGATATTATAGTGCCTTGTTGAGTTAAACCAGAGAGCGTAGGAGCTTCTGCAAGTGAGATTTTCCAGTTTCATGACTGGTCTTCTAATGGGAAACCCGTGAATTGGTGATTTCATGGTTCTGTCTTGGTAACGAGAGTGTACATTGCAACATGCTCATTTAAAACTTTTGTTTTTTCTTCCACATGGACAGTAGAGAGTATCATAGGGTCACAAGTGTGTCGTTTTGAGCTTATTCCATTTAAGCATTTATATTGGCTGCATCTTGATTACCATCATCTTCGTGGTTAGAACATGTTGGCCAGGTGCATACTGCTATGCCTTTAACCTCTTAGAACCTCTGGTTCACTTTAGTTTCATTTTTAACTACCTTGTCATGAAACTGAATTTTTTGGACCTTTGTTACCATACATGATATATGTTGTCTCTCACACTTATAGACTTCGTCACCATGGCAGGATTGATAAATTGCCAAGATATCTGCCTGTTCTCTACCAAGGAACTCCTTGTCCTTGTTGCAGACCAGCAATTATGGGACCAGGTTGGCCATGGAAGCTTAATCCATTAGCCTACTCAGTTCGCCTTATTCTTACCAAAACTGCAAGATTCCTAAAATTGCATTACTTTATGCATCTCCTCTATATTTAGTGTTGATATGCACAACCTTGCCTTTCTTTTGAAAGGCTGATGTGCCTTTTCCTTAAAAAAAAAAATGATGGCATCTTTTTTTAACTGTTTAAACTTTTGGCCCACCCCCATAGAGTGTAAAAAAATATATATATGTGTTTATATAAATTTTCATTGTGATGTTAGATGTGAAAATGAATTATTCTTGTTGTCTTTCCAGATCTCTCAAAATGCTTAGATGAGCCTAGGCCCACCATTCAGCAGGCTCATCCTTTGATGAAAATGTGAGGCGATGCTTCCGCCGAGTCTCGGGGCCTAACCGACCTTTATTCTCTCTCGCTCTTCCCCAACATGGACTTGACTTTGGTGACAATGTGCCGCCTGGGCTGGGTTAGAAATCTTTGTGACTTTTGATTGTGCGAAAAATTTAGTCATCATGAGTTTGAAGAATTCCATGGGACTGAAGAAAGATTCGAAGATGCGGATCCGTGCATTCCCTGTGAGTTTCGGGTATCCGTTTTCTTCGTTGGCCTACTGTTGATACTTAGCTCAATAATTCAGATTATTGAGAATGGAAGGGCCTGGTATTGTATGCTTTTTGTTAAATAGCATTGCATATTGAATGAATTATCAGCATATGCTGGCAGTCTTGGCAAATTAGCTGACTTAAATTACTTCTTGGCAATGGGCAATTTTGTTTTCAGCAGTTTTAACAAGAATTATGAACTGGGAGAAAGTTAAGAGAAAAAAATGAATTATGTGTTAAATTGTACAAATCTTATGTCTTTCAATATTTTGTTCTTGGACACATTTGGAAATAAACAAACATGGGTAATTTAATTGTCTTTGGGCATTAGTTGTGATTCAGCCAATAGTTCCAACTCAAGTGGATTGGATCTATCTGTGCTTTGGTAACTGAGCCATTGAACCACTGGGAACTGTTTTTTTTTTTTTAATGTCATGAAAATTCACTGTTGATATTTATGACAGAGGTGAAATGTAGGGAGATAAAATGCTTTAACCCCTTCAGTATGGAGTTTTTATTCTCTTGGCTATGCCTTCTGTCTGGTTTTTTTTTTGGGGAGGTGGGGGGGTTTGTACTCATTGTTTAGTTGGGCTTGAAACGTGCAGTATCTGCAAGTAGGAGAATTTATGGGTTGCATGCACCTTATTAGTGCTTTGGGGAGCAGAAGCAGAAGTTGACACAGATAGAGAAAGGACTGTGCTTGCCTGGCTGTATTGGTTTAAATGCTACATAGGGGTTAAATTTATATTTGCCATTTGTGGACTTACAGATATTGTCAATACTCTCAAGTGATTAGAATTGTTTGTTGATTTTCGTTTGTACTTTAAATTTTTTTGTGGGTAGACTGCGCTGACTGTTATGGCAAATTTATGAACCATTGATGGCAGTACTTGTAAAGAGGAAGCCCACTTTTGCTATTTTCTTTATTTAAGCCCTTTACATGTCATATGGTGGATGCAGTTTATCAGCTGCCTTCAAACTTTTGGAGAAGTCTTTTAATAGACAGTGGATGATTCCATTGCTTCTTGGCTGTATACATTTGTGTCCATTAAGTTTTTACATCCATTTTTCATTACTTTAAGACCCATGGGATTCTTGTGAGATGAATTTCAGAAAGACATCAATTGGAAAGTCCATAACTCGATTTCCTTGCATCTTAGATGACGATGGACGAACGCTATGTGGATAACATATGGCAGCTCTTGAAAAGTGCCATTCAAGAGATCCAGAAAAAGAACAACAGTGGGTTGAGTTTTGAGGAGCTGTACCGCAATGCATATACCATGGTGTTGCATAAACACGGGGAGAAACTCTACGTTGGATTGCGAGAGGTTGTAACGAGTCACCTCGAAAGCAAGGTGAGTGATCGTCTTTCGTCATTGCTTTGTACTGCTGTGGTTCTAATTGATGATAGCATGCATTTGAGGTGATGCTCCTTGTTGATTTATCTATTCAGAGTGAATTGTTCATTAAATGACATATATTTATTGGATGCTAAGAGTAGCTTCTTGCAGTTATTCCTCGTAAAATATGCATGGTTGCATACATGAGGTGCCTCTATTGAGTGCTACTGTTGAGTTAACATGAAAAAGGGAGGTATTTTCTCCTTGTTACATATCCTTGAGTGGTTCATGTCACATTGGTTCATTTCCCCTATTTGGTCAGAGAAAAGATAGTAAACATCATCAGAATTTTAGCTATGTTAGAACTGGTACAGTGGATCATTCAGAGATTTTTCTAGGTATGAATACTTCCAATGATTAGGTAGGTAAAAAACTTACGGAGTAAATAGTAATGTTTATGTCAATTACTTGAAAATATTTGCCTGTCTTATCTTTTTACTTTTTCTTTATCATACTTCAATTTGGGCTGTTTATGAAGAAGGAAGACTAGTCATGAAAATAGCCATTTCTTTTTACAGAGGCTAGATAACCATTGATCCCTTCATTGCCAATCAACAGGAAATCATGAGCTGAACTTAATTGCTTCTAATAAATTGGTGGATAGTTCCAGTTGAATTAATACAATTTCTATTTTATTTTGCAAGGTCCGGAAGGATGTCCTGGAATCTCTTCACAACAATTTCCTCCAGACCCTCAACATGGCATGGACTGACCACCAGACATCGATGGTGATGATCCGTGACATTCTCATGTACATGGACCGGGTGTATGTCCAGCAGAACAATGTTGAAAATGTCTTCAACTTAGGCCTCACACTCTTCAGGGATCTTGTCAGTAATCCTTCTGTCGATTGGAGTGGATTGTTCTTCCTCTTGGGAATTAATGCAGGGCGCTCTCGTCTCGTCAGGTCGTCAGGTATGGGAACATCCGCGATCACCTTCGTGACACCCTCTTAGATATGGTTATGAGGGAGCGACGAGGAGAGGTGGTAGACCGGTTAGCAGTACGTAACGCCTGCCAAATGCTCATCATGCTCGGTCGTGATGTCTATAAGGAGGACTTCGAGGAACCCTTCCTTCAACAGTCGATCGATTTCTATCGAGTGAGTGGCCGTACGTCTGATTTATGCATGGACTCTCTCACGGTGCTAAATATTGAATCTTGTTGATTCTGACCAGGTGGAGAGCCAGAATTTCCTTCGAGAAAACAGCGCATCGGTGTACATTCATAAGGTGGAGGGTCGGATTGCTGAGGAGAGGGAAAGGGCCTCACATTACCTGGATGAGGATACCAAGGAAGCCATCGTCCATGTCGTCGAGGACGAACTGATACGGAAGCATATGCAAACCATTGTTGAGGTCTGCCTCTGCCCTGTTTAAAAATCTTTATTTCAGGCTCAGAATAGTTCCTTTCAAAGATTGGTTTTCTTATATTGTTCAGTTAGAATGAGAATTGGAGTAAGATGGTTATTCTAAAATGCGATGTTTCTCCTGGGTGATAAAAAAAGGGGACCCCTGATGTCATTTATGCAACTCTTTTCTGTTGTCATTAGTATTAGTTGTGAGGAATGTCATTTTGATACACTTTTCTATTTGATCTGAGAATTTCCTTTAGGAAACTTCTGGTATATCTGAAAGTTTTTTTTTTCTTAGTTTTTGCCAATTCCAAACATCATGTTTAATCAAGGATGCTATTCTGCACACTGCACCTGACACTCATGGGGCATTGACTCCTAATATTACTTGCTAAACTGACTTACTAAGTGAGCTGACATATGCAAAATGGTGACAATTGTCTGAAGGGTGAGATCTGTTGGGAAGGCTATGACAAGGGTAGTTGTGGGAAGCTTACTTGGGATTGTGTTGTTCTGTCTCATTAGAACCTTGAACCCATATCTTGCTTTGATACATGCATTCCTTTCCTGCTTCACTTTGCTATAGCTTAGCTGCAGCAAGTGCGAGTCTCGTGTTTTTCTGAAGGAAGTGGCTCCTTGCTAATGGAACTAATAGCACCATCATCCTGAACCATTATAGTTGCAAATTGCTCGTTTTTCATGCTACAGTGGGTAAATGACCTGAGACCATCATAGTCTCCTCTGCAAGGAGAGCAAACCTCAATCTTCCATAGAACCATGCTTCTTCACCCTTCATTCTGATGGGAAAGCCTTTGGGAGTGTAAGCTTTTATTAAGGTTAGAAGTACCTCAGTTGCTGTAGCAGTGGAGGCAAATGGGAAAGTACGCCCTGCCCTGTGTTGAAAATTAACATGAAGGTTAAGGCATGTAAAACAAGATTTCTTCAAAAATCCTACTTTGAATCCATGTCATGTTCATGATGATGAGAGAAGTTTTTTTATTTACATTGCTGTGGTCTTTCCTGATTTGTGCAGATGGAGAACTCAGGTGTTGTTCACATGCTGGAGCATGGGAAGGTGGATGACCTGGCTTGCATGTACAAACTGTTTGCCAACCTGGAGAAACGCGTCCCGGACGTCTTCAAGACCATGTCCGACTGCGTGTCTCACTACCTCCGAGAGCAGGGCAAGGCCCTTGTTGCTGAGGAAGGGGAAGGAAAAAACCCCATCTCATTTGTTCAGGTATATTACACAGGTCTATAAAATATAGGGGTCAGGGAATTGTGAGGTTTTTTAACACTTGTGAAGGAATTGGAGATGATGAGTGGTTGTATTTTTTTTTTCTTGAGGTTCGCTGCACATCTTGTGCGATTCAGATTCATTTAAATGATTGTGGTCCACATTTGATCTGTGCTCAAGTCTTGGCACCATGAGTCTCAATTAGAAATCCTGAGCATGGTGAATGGGGCATCACATCAACTGAACTTTGTTTCATGTTTTACAAAGCCATTGGCAGGCTAAGGTTCTTATATAGAAAGGAGGAAATATTAGTCTAGGTGACAGGGAGACAGAACCCATCTTGTAAGAAATGTTTTGGGTGGAATGATAGGAAGAGAAAAAAAGGTACATATATATAAAATACAAAGGGAAATATGGTAGAGAGCGGCATGAAGAAAGTACCAAATATTAACTGCAAGTTTTAAGAACTCAGCTTCCTCACAAAAAGTGGATAAGTCTCAATTTGACCAGAATAAGTGTTAATACTTGTTTATCAATCATTACTTTCATGCCATAATACACATTTTTCCTTGAAGATATCTAATGTTTGGGATTGTCCATTTGTAGAGCTTGCTGGACCTGAAAGAGCGATTCGACCACTTCCTCCTGAAATCCTTCAACAATGAACGAATCTTCAAGCAGATGATTGCCTCCAACTTTGAGTACTTTCTCAACCCGAATCTGAATCCAAAGTCCCCGGAATACCTCTCCCTCTTCATTGATGACAAGCTCAAGAAAGGAGTGCGAGGAGTGAGTCGAGAACCCTTTGCTCTTAGCTCTTGCTGGTATATTTTTCATTGCAATGCACTCTGGCAATTTTTTTCTTATTTTTCTACAGATTTAATGGCCTTTATAGAGCAAAAAAAAAAAAACCTTTTTCAAGTTTTGACTTGATGATTTCATTGATTGGGTTTGCTTTTAAAAGGGTATGTTCTTATTTTTGCCCTTGCCTGGTTTGTATCACAAATTATCACATTGTATTTTGAACTTCATAGTCATTAAGTTTTTGTCAAATTAGTCTCTTGTTCATGATGTTTTACTAAGATATGTTAGTAATGTAAATTTTGTTCGATTTGATCCTGCAGATGACAGAATCAGAGATTGAAAATGTGCTTGATAAAAGCATGGTCCTATTCCGGTTTCTACAAGAGAAGGATGTGTTTGAACGGTACTACAAACAGCACCTTGCCAAGCGGCTGCTCCTGAACAAGTCCGTTTCCGATGACTCAGAGAAAAACATGATCTCTCGTCTTAAGGTGGGGCTTTTTTTCCTCAGTGCTTGTATGGTGAGGTGATGGTATTGATCAGGTTGCAGCAGCTCATGACCTTTTTCGTGTTTGCATTTAGACTGAATGTGGGTGTCAGTTTACCTCAAAGCTGGAGGGGATGTTCAAAGACATCACTGTGTCCAACACCATTATGGAAGAGTTCAAGAATCACATTGCTGTCACAGGGGTGAGTGCCACTTAATGATTTTAATGGCTTAATGAATGCGTTTGCAGCTTTTTTTGGGCCTTTGTAATGGGCCTCGCACGCATGAACGATGTCATCCTCTGTTGCAGAATAATTTGAGTGGAGTGGACCTGAATGTGCGAGTGTTGACAACAGGGTTCTGGCCCACCCAGTCTGCCACCCCCAAATGCATGATCCCGCCTGCAGCTCATACTGCCTTTGAAACATTTCGGAGGTGAGTGAAGTGAAGATGTTGAAGAGAATGCCTGTGTTACCATATTTTATGTCTGTACCAGATTCGCACTCCTTTGAAACTTTGAATATTCTTTGTTGTAAACAGAAATTTCTGGGCCACAGGGATACTTCCCTGAGCATTATTATGAATTGATGCAAATAATTCTCTCTGGTCACATCTTGCTGGTTGGCAAGCAGAACCATTCATATTCAGTATGTTACGTGCACTGTTTTCTAATGGTTCACCTTGGATTGTATTTGATTAGCCGTTGTAGGAAAGGAAAGTGTCTTCTTAAAAAAGTTGATTTTGTATTATAACTTATGTTCAACAGTAATTAGTAATTTATTGGGGGACTCTTCCAAAATATATTTATTTTCCAGAAACAAGGCCTTAGCTTAGCATAAGAATCAGACACAGAATATATTCCACTTGTCAAATGGTGCATCAGTCTCAGTGAGAAATGGAATGATATTGCTACTCCATCTTTATCATTGAAGTTGAGTATGAGTATTTTCAGACAAATTGAAGGGGTAAACCTTCATTCAGATGTTGAGACTAGTTCATAATTGCTAGAGGCTGCATTTTGCATTACTCTTGGGGTAAACCTAAAGTATTACTTAAATGAACCTAAAATTCAATCAAAACAATTTTTTATTTATTGAAGGTCTCACTCTCCATGTAATTATAAGTAATTCCCTGACAAACCTGATATTAAATATGGGTTTTCCATGAATAATTTTCCTTTCTTAATTAGAAGTTACATGATATGTTCTCATTTTTCCTGCCCAGATTCTATCTGTCACAACATTCCGGGCGGCAACTCACCCTCCAGCCGCAGCTGGGATCGGCTGACCTCAATGCCACGTTCTTTGGACCGAAACGGGAAGACGGTGAGGGGCGGGATGGAGCATCCAGTTCTACGCATCACAACGCTCCGTTGTCTCCTGGTGCCAGTTTGTCATCTGCTGGTCTCGGCAGTGGGAACGGATCTGTTCCGGCTGTGGGAGGCAGCAGTGGGGGGACCCGTCGTCATATCATCCAGGTGTCCACCTTCCAGATGTGCATCTTGATGCTCTTCAACACGCGTTCTCGCATCTCATACGAGGTATGTTTTTCGTGGAGCATGTTCTTGGTGCTGCTCTTTCAAATGAATTGATTTGAGTCTTGTAGAACTTTAGAGGCATGAAACCTGCTTTTGCTTAATGAGAGCAAGCATTGAACTAAGATCCATTTAAAAAACAGGAGATAGCCAGTGAGACAGACATCCCAGAGAGGGACTTGATCCGAGCCCTCCAGTCCTTGGCACTGGGGAAAGCCACACAGAGGATACTGATCAAGAACCCCAAGACACGAGACATCGAGCCCAACCACGTTTTTGTCATCAACGACTCCTTCTCCTCCAAACTCTACCGGTCTTTCTTCTTTTCCTGCTAATCAGAATTTGGAGTCTTCTGGGCACTGAAAAATCAAAAATAATTTTATCTTGCAGAGTTAAGATTCAGACAGTTGCAGCAAAGGGAGAATCAGAACCTGAGAGGAAAGAGACCCGTTCCAAGGTGGATGAAGATCGCAAGCACGAGATCGAGGCTGCCATCGTACGCATAATGAAGGCACGCAAGCGCATGCAGGTATGTGTTGCAGTGATTCGTGAATTTAGGATTTTTGCCAAGCCTTCTTGATAAGGAATTAGCCTTTTTTTGCTGTTTCCTCAAAATTGTCTCATGCATCAGAGTACATAGCCTTCACATTTTGTGTTTAAATACAGATTGAAACTTCACAAAAGCCTAATTGCTCTCATTGCAGGATGCATTAGTGAGAAACTAGATTTCTGGGCAATGGAGAATAGATTGAATGTATAATGTGTTTTTTTTTTTCATCCTTCTTCAACCATTCCTGTTCACATATTTATTCCTTTTCCATGCATCAACTTTTTGTTCTTTTGTTTTTCCTCTCCCTCTAATCTTCATGTTCTGTTATTTCTCCTGTACTCAGTATACTGCTGAGTGTATTTAGTACTTTACTGAGTTTGCAAAGTACACGCATCACACAGCTGGGTGTACCTAATACACTGAGCTGATGAGGCTTAATACAAGATGTGCTCAAGTGTTTTTGTTCCCCATTTGTGATACATTTTCTGAGTAAAAACTTTCCTTGGTTTCCCCTAGCACAATGTCCTTGTGGCAGAGGTGACTGAACAGTTGAAAAGTCGCTTCCTTCCAAGTCCTGTTGTGATCAAGAAGAGAATCGAGGGACTGATCGAGCGGGAATATCTGGCTCGAACTCCGGACGACAGGTCCGTTTCCCCTTTGCCCCTCTGCTTGGGATTTTTGTCAAATTTCAACCCCGTGTTTCACTTTGTCGGATTGCAGGAAAGTGTATACATACGTGGCTTGAACACTGGACTCGACATAAGGGACCCTTTCCCTCTCTTGCCCACACTGGACTCTGTGACCCTGACATCAAATCCGGTGTGGCCTGCTTCAGCTGTGATTCATTCCTCTCTTAGCAATCTGTGCTCTTGGCATATTTAAACACAAACACTACCCAAATAAACTGGAGAAACGCGCCCGCGCTGCCCCGTCGGTGACTCGGTGCGACCTCTTTGGGTGTGTTGGATCGTGTGTGAATGTTCTGGAGCAGTTTGAGTATGCTCCGTGTTTTTGTGAATAGAGATACCGGCACTCTATTTCGATGGAGTTTGTGTCAGCAGGAATCCAGAATGCTTTCTCACTGGAGAGTCACCCATGTCTCATTGATTCACCTGGAAATTTCGGTTCTCTGTTTCTCTGCCCTTCGGTGGATTTTCGCGTAACTGGGGCGGCATTCTATTCCGTTCCGACGGCCATACCGTTCGCAGCGTCTGGTTTTTCTGGGGTCGTCTGGCTGTCGCGTGGGCTTTGTGTACTTTCAGGAAAGTCCAGAACTTCCTGGAAAATTCTTTCTTGGCTTTTAGAAAGCATCTTGAGAAGGGATGAAGAACACCTACACTGCTGCAGAATTTTTTTTCTGCTGTAATATTCTTTTAGTTGCAGTCCTATTCTGTAACTTATTGATTTTCTGGATTTTTCATGGGATATTACAGTTAACTCAGGTTTTATTTGGACTCACACATGTTTCCTGTTGAGATGTATAGTCTGGATGTACTTTCATAAGAATTTTAGAAGACAAATTTGCTTTTTGTTTTTTTACTGATACTTCAAGTTGTGCTTTATCTTCACAGCTTGTATGCATTAATATTTAACTCTGTTACTTGTGCAGAGGATGGGTTGGCTTGCGCCCAGTAGTTGCAGCTTGACGTACCACTCAAAATTGTCATAAGGATTCTATTAATACCTGTTAAATTGGTAAAATGTCATCAATATCATCCATTTGGAAGTCTTTGATGAGGACGATGATGTGGAAATTTTAGGGAACCGAATCTCCCCTTTGGCCTTGCACAGGGCCACCAAGTTGGAAGAAACGTCTAACGTAATTAGGAAGTGCATTTCCCAATCTCAAAACTGATCTGCAATTGGATCTTCACTGGTCTGTCTCGAAGTGGCTGCCGCTTCTGGTGGATATTAATTGGGTATCACATGAAGTAGGAAGGCTAAACATACCACTTTTGGAATGATTTTTAACTGAAACCTGGAAAAGGGTCAATGGGCAGTTTTGAACACTTAATAACGGCAAATAAGGATATTTCTTCATTTTGTCTTCAAATTGTTTCTTTGGTCGAACTAAATGAAGAAAATTCTCAGGTTTCTCTCCAAAACCAGTCCACACATGCAGGAACTTATGGAACTGTGGCAATGACCGATTTTCCAGGCATATATTTTTCAAACGGCACATGACTTCCACTGCATTTCTGCAATAATTGAGGACCTTGGAGCAATGATGAGAGATTGACCATGAGATGACACACGTGACATTCCTAAAGGGTATCCAGTCTTCTGTAGAAATTAATTTACATCATTTTTGCAATACTGGAATTTGTGGAGAGGATGGAGACTTTGGCGTGATGATTGTGTGTGGGGACAGAAAAGGCGCACAAGTCTCTCAGGAGCGAATACTGGCGCAAAAGTTTTCCTTTCCTTTTGCCGACTTGCAATTTTAAAGGGGCAATTTGGTTTCGTTGAACTATTTGCATGGGGCGCCCTGGGTGCTCGTAGCACTCGAGCTATCGGAGACCGTACACCTATCAGAAAGTCTCAGGACCGGCCTTCATGGAGCAAACTACGTACATATATTCCCCAATTTCCTCACATTGGTGGTGGGCCACCAGCTGGGAAGGGACCTCGTGCTTCCATGCATATTCAATTCGCCCTTAAATCTTGAAGTTCAAGCATGACAACAAGCGCCAACCCATTGTTCTTGTCTTCTCTGACATGGAACCCTGAGGGGAAGGTGAACGGCTATCTGCGAGCGCTTGTTCTTACAGTACACAAGATGTTTGGCATGAAATAACTCATGCACTGTATCTTTTCATGTTTTCCCATATTTAACTTCAGCATTTATTAATTCCCTAAGTCATGCATTGCAATCAAAACATCATGATTCCACGTTCTCCTTATATCTGTTCAAAATTCTTCAACAAGTAGAGGAAATAGGGGGGAAACACTTGCTAAATCAGGGAAGTAGTTCCTTGATTGCATTCGAAGGGTACAGGGAACATGTGCACCATCTCGTGGGGACTCTAGGTACCACCGACAACCTCCGTGCTCCTCGGCTTCGCTGCGATCCCCTTCGAAGCCCCTCCCTCGACGCGCGAGACATCCCTCCCAGCGCCCGGCGGTCCAGAGCGACTGAGAACCTGGCGAAAAAAATGCCCGACCCTCTTTGGTCGATCTAGGGGGAGGCGGATTCGGAAACATCAGGAAAATATTGCCTCGTACTAATGTGAAGTATCTGCCAATTTTAGGCGTTTCCCATTACTTTTCTCCGAAACTTCGGAGTAATCACTGTATATTCGAAATTCTTCGTTTCTGCCTAGTGGTGTTTAGTATCGTTGAAAAGGTCACGTCTAAAACGATAAAATGTTGCAATGATGGCCATCCAGCGGGCATTCGCCCCACCTTGCTACTTTACGTGAATACGCATTCAATTTCCTTCGACGGCCCCCTGGAAAAGTGGGGCCCGGGGCAACAGCACCCTTTGCCCCCCCCCCCCCCCCCCCCTTCCTTAATCCGGCCCAGGGTGAATGGTACTGAAAGTGGCCACCATTGGCCATTTAATCGCACGAAGCAGCACAAGCGTCTAGCGACACACCGTCGCCGACCAATCAGAATGTGATCCCTTTTTGCGCATGCGCCAGGT